GTTCAAGAATTAATTTACCGTGAAAAGCTTTACCACGTACAAATAATTTCTATGCGAACGGAATAAAAATGGCAGCTGTTGAATAAAAACTCAAAGCTGCCTTTAATTTAGGAAATCTTTTATAAATTAAAATTCAGAATTTATGTTTATCTTCTTCTACTTTCAGATATTGATTAAAAGATTGTACTGCAATTATTCGCTATTCGTTTATTGAAGTGAAAAATAACGAAGTAACGCTTACCGTATTGATTTTCATATCAAAGGTAGATATCCGGCAATTTCGCTCACTGGATGTTCTAGGATTACCGGGCAGCCGTAACGATAACCAGCATTCCACTGGTTTAATTAAAAAATGCAGAAACAAGCCACGTCGGTATTATTTACGGAGATGACTTACAATTAATTTCATTGAAAAGCAAAACAACGAAGAACGCCTCTTCATTTTTTGCAAATTGAAATAGATTATATGCAGAATGTATTACAATGGTAATAACGTAACGCAAAAAAACAACGCAGGCTACATAGATGAAGATAATTACAAAACTTAAAACGTTTTGTTGAACATACTAAAAACTTTATTTTTCAACGGAGATATTTTTGAATGAAAAATGGGAGATATGGAAAGTTCTTTTGACCCATTCTATCGGGTCCCAGAAAGGTCACGTGACGTCCAATAAAGCCTACTTCCGATTGTCCTATGGCGACAGAGTTTAAAAATCAATGTGTTTTTCTTGATCCCAGTGACTACTGGAAAGGAAGACATTTGTATGTTTAGAAGAGTGTATGCCGTGAACAGTTCCACCACAATTTTTTTGAAGTTACAGTAGTCCACTGAGTTTTTCATCAGATTCCTTTGTAGACAACTTTGAATGACGCAGGTTTCTAGTTCATTATTTTTGAAAATGGCGTTATTTTCTTATGGACGTTTTTAAGAATTGATACAGTTCCGTATCTATCAAATCTTGTCTGGTCAGAACGTTGCTCTTTTCGCTTCCTTTATACAATAATACGTTCAATATCTTTTTAGACAGCAGCATGAAAAACTGGTACTGTTATTGAATAAATATTTATAGAGTGTTTCTATAAATGATTATAAGGTCGAAGTAGTTCATGGAAGCGTGCCACCTATCACCTTATACGGATTTTAGTAAATGCCCAAAGACTCACGACAGATACCACACGCATCAGTAAATTGACCCTTTTCCTGTAAGATCGTAAAACTTCCATAGTGACTTTCCGTGCGCACGCATCTTCAAAACTACGTATCCGGCACTCCGGCAGCAGAGCAAAGGTCTGTGACAACAAACCGCTTTGACAGAATGCAACCAGCTACACATGCGTAATCTGTCGCTCATTGGTTAATTTTAACTTGGCGCTCCAAAAATCTGACTTCGCCTGCGCGATGTTGTCTCACTCTGTATCATTGGAATTTATATAATGTCTACTCACTTTGCTTACAGGAAAAGGGTCAATTCTTTATCTTATTAAAAATAGAACAATAAAAGCGATGACTTTAAATGACATGTTACAAATGACATTAATGACTGGAAGAACCGTTTTAGGAAAGCCATATTTCGCGAGGTTCACAAACGTCCCATTTTCACTAGAATTTAGAATTTGACGAAATTAAAAAAAAAGTAATTTTAGCTGAAATGCCACGTTTTTGTTCACATAAGATTTTCCGAATTGTGTTTCTAACCCATAGACTTAATAATTTGGAAAAGCAACGTCTTTGTAAGTTAAAGAAAAAATGCTGGTAATTCTTAAACTTATGTACTCCGCTCTTATATATTTAGGTTTCAAATTGCACACAAAATTTTACGTACCTTCAAAAAACTTGACGAGGCTTGAGTTAACGAGGTTCGAGTATACATATAAGTATACAAGTTTTACTTAACTGTGTTCTTCAAAATGTTGCATATGATTTTGAACTCATGATGCTGGTTCCTCGGCTCTTTTCTACAAATTCCCAAATAGTACATTTATGTCACGTAATAGCGGCGAATACATTGTTCAAATAATTTATCCTCAAAAAATATTAAAAGTTTTCCTTCAAATCGACAACGAATTGCTCATTGATTTCCCTAAATACTGTTAGAAAACTTCTGTTGAATTTAACTCAACAATTTATTCTATCCCACAGCCGAGTAATGAATATATTCGTTGACGATTTTTTTTGTGCTGGCCCTTATAAGTAAGTCAAGGTATCTACAAGACAAATTAAAGTAATTAAGGGATCCTTTAGAAAACGAGATCATCAAACGAAATTAATAGGTCGATATCCCCCAGAGTGTTTTTTTTTTGGGCTGGATTATACAAAATAGCATTATATATATAGTAACGGCACCGTAGATGACTCTTTTAGGCATAAATAATTGTTTTGTTTCGTTCGTAGTAGATTAATTATTGGTGTCCTTAGGGGCTAGAAACTTTGACCTTTTTACTAGTACGGTTCAAATTTAATTACAACGTTAAAAAATTCTTTGTTGACGAATTTTTTGCTTCTTGGCCAAACTTACAACAACTTACTAATATGGGTAATTTTAATTTTTGATTTATCGTTCCAAAATACACTGCCCGACAAAAAAACCCGGACACTTGAATATTTGTAAATTTAGGCTAAATGCTTAATAGTGTTACAACTTTTTTAACTTTTTTCTGTTTCCAGGCGTTCTAGAATAAAGTTATGTTTTCTATTAATGAATACATTAATGATTTGCTTTTTGGAATATTTTTTCGACCAGTTGCAGGTAATCATAAAAAATTCAAGTGTCCGAGTTTTTTTGTCTGGCAGCATATTTATCTGTATTACATTTCATTTTTGATTATAGATCATTGTGATTCACGTCACTGAGATCGTTACATGTATAAAAGCTTCATTTATCTTTCCTTTTTTGACTTTCCTAGGTAATATTTTCTGTATACTAAACGACAGCATATCAGTAGCAAACTTTGTAATATCTTTATTTAATTTTGCCTTTGTTGTTTCTATAACACTTTGAAGGTTTTCTTCTCATTTTTTAGCTAACACTTTCTTCTTGGCGATTCACTTTAACTTCTATGAAAGAATTAGAAGATTAATCCACATACAAATTCTTTTCGTTTTTTTTTTTTTTGTCTGGAGTAACTTTTTTCTCTCATTTCCACTGGCTTACCGGTGTGTTTCTACATTTTCGTGCACATTCTCTTCTGGAGTTCCATAGACATTAATTTTTTTGTTGTTGTTGAAATTGTTATATTGCAGCTCTTCATGGTGTTAGATTTTTATAAATTTTCTTAACGAAACTGTGGGATGTTATTTGTCTTGTTGCCCATTAATGTTACAAGCTCAATCAAGCTTCATCTTTTGTAAATACAGTAGGTGGACTTTATCGACATTCAAGTTTCACAGTATTGTGTGCCCAGGAGTATACTAGTTTTATGATTTTTCACCTTGCCAAACCTGTAATTTCCGAACAAAGAGCATCTTAAACTAATCCCACTAAAGATAAGCTGCTCTTGTTTAGGAGAAGCCTGCCAGCCAAATACAACAAAGAGCCGCTATTTTAGTTTGAGATTATTGAAATTTGCATTTAAAAAGCTCCGTTATTCGTTGACAAGACAATGAGGGAATCAAAGTTATGAAACCACTGTAAGTATTTCCTGGCACACTCTACAACTGTCTTTGGAAGGTTATACTTTTTCCGAGGTTTTCGCTGTCATTACAATAAGTGGCCCATTTTTAATGTCTTGAAGGGGGTGGCCTACATCTCCAAGTCTATAAAACATTGTTCTTTTTATGCACTGGCGGTACCTGTAAATATTTGAAATGTGCAAAGTATTATTTTAACTCACTAGGTGACTGTGAATAGACAGAACTTCCCTCGGCTCTGCAGTACAGTGGAATAAATACAGCCTCTTTGAAAAGTTATAAAATTTAATTTTAAGATTTTTTTGTTATTACATATACGTTAAAATAAAAGTTTGTGTGGACAGGTAAAGAAGCATGCTAAGCATAGTTTCAAGTGAGTTTTTCCAAAATATATTTTTTATCACGTCATCAACATTTTAGAAGGGCATGTATCACTTGCAATAGGTGCACTGTAATACTAATAGTAACATTATTTATTCACTAAGCACGACTGACATAAAAATAGAAGAAAGTTGGTGTAATTAAAAATTCCATTATATTCTTTTTAAACAAATAATGTTACCGTTGGCGGCTGTGACATTTTTTAAACAAATGACTAAGATGCTTAAATGTCAATTCAAATACTGTCATTCATGCCTTTGTCTGAGCCGATTGTGAATTATTGTCTAGCAAGGCAAGAACTCGCTCCTAATCTTCCCAAATGTGTTACAAACCACATTTCACACTGCTTACATTACAAACTAAAAAAAAAAAATATCAAGGTGGTTTCATAAATCGCAAATACATAAATATGTTATTTTAGATAAATAAAATAGTATTTAACAGTAAAATTTTGATTAGCGTTGTTATTCATATAAAATATGTATCTACATTTACACACTCGGATTTCTTGACAACTCTGTTTTTTTCCATTATCTTAATATATAGGTACACTTATATTCTTGTTTCTACAAATATGCAATTAGCTTTCTTTATTTTTTTTTCACAGTTTAACCTACATTCACTTTTGATTTATCTAGGTACATTTTGTTATTATAGGATAAGTCGGTGATTCATCTTTGTAAATAAATACCCTGTTATTCAAACTATACAACTTCTCCATTAGTCTTTTCACATGCTATTCAAACATAGTTCGATCAGTTTATGCAACATTTATCCTACTCGCAAAACCTTTTAGCGAGAATAGACACATGTTTCCTTTTGCATAATTTTAGATAATACAACAAAACTAGTATGCGCGTACGTTCCTACTGTTACATAATATAATATTTCGGATGGTTTGCTCTACCACACAGGATTTGGTAGATGCATTTTCGCAAATTCTGTTATTTTAGTGCAGACAAGCTTTAAAAATGTCCTTCTTTTTCAGTAACAAAAATGTCGCCTAGACCATCATTAATACCCGATATCGAGCCGCCTGCTCCCGTCGAAGAGAAGCCACCTGTAACGACGGCTCCTCCAACTCCTCCTGTAGCTAAGCCAGAGCCCGGTAAACCCCCAAGCAGAGCCGGAGCGTGCCGGGTGTGTCTGAAGGCTTTCAAACCCGACGATTTCAGCAGAACGTGTGCCGAATGCACACAGCGTGTATGCGAAGACTGCGCCAGCTACAGCAAACTCGCCGAAGACGAAGATCCTGCCAACTGGACTTGCAGCGTTTGTAGAAGGTTAAAAAATTACCATAAAGTTTTATTTGTTCATAGACTAGTTGTTGTTTTAAATATCAGTATAAATGAAAAACCCAAAAACCTATCGATGCATATCTATTGTTCAATTTAAAGGTAGCACGAAAAATAAAATCGAACTTTATAATAGGCATCAATCAAATACCTGTTTTTTTTTTGTGAAATAATGAACTTGCAGCCCATTATGACTTATATTTGATTTAATAATGGACACATCCGTAGATCCCGAATGTTGGAAAGTTGTAAGTTACATATTAAAAATTATCGACCGGTGGTGATTATGTCTAATTTTGGCAAGCTAAATATTTCAAATTATATCATTTAACACTGTTTACATTCATATTATGCCTGTCATATTAAATTGTCGATACGGCTTTATGGACGCCAGGTCTAGCTGCACTAATTTAACCAAATTCACACCATTGGTGTCCAGTGCCTTGAATAGAAAGAAAAAACAAGCTAATGTGATATTCACGGAGCTTTCAAAAGCTTTTGACACTGTAAACCACAAAATTTTGTTATATAAAGAGAATTTACGCTTCGTCGGTTTGTGTAATAATTTGATTTCACTATTTAAACCAATTTTAGTGGATGAACATTTATACATATATAAATGTTTATCTGGCGTTTGTCAAAATTCACATCTAGGATTTCCTTTATTATTAATCTTGATTAAGGATATTGTTGCATATTTTAGTCCTGCTTGCTATGTGTTTATGTACACGCATAAATTGAAAATAGTGAGAATTATTAAAGATGTCGATGATTGTCTTAAAAAAAAAGTTGCTATTGAACATTACCACGTGTTGCGTTGTCATTCTTAAGACAACCGAACGATTGGGTATGTTTTCACATTCTGGCGTTGGTAGATGCACGGATTTCGTTCAAAATATCAGAAATGGAACTTGTCAAGTTTTCTCTTATGATTTCTTGTGTTTCCTGCGCCCTATGGGCTCGAAACTACCTAGAAATTTTCAAGTTTTAGACAGAAAACATATTTTTGTAGAAGTTTTGAACTATATTTCCACTTGCTTTGACAAAAAAATTGTATACACTTGCGATATACAGAATCAACTAATTTTGCAAAAAAGGATATGGGTATATTTTCCGTGTTTTGGATATAGAGAATCTTTAAAGATCTTTAAAGATTCATCCTTAACTCAAGTCATCTTAAATAACTTAACTGTTGTTTTATTCTGAAAAAATCCAAAAACTGGCATTTTTTTAGAGGGACACATACAGGGTGGCTATGACGGCTACTAAAACAAATGCTAATGACAAATTTATAAAAAACAGTTTTAATAAATCCAAAGCAATATAAATAGTCTCTCATATATCAAAATAAATCCCTTTCTACTCAAGATATACCCACATATCCCCTGACCAATTTAATGAATTCTTTACAAATGTTCCTCCCTAAATCAGAATTAGAGCCTGTTGGTATTATATCGATGCAGTTAATCAAATACAGTTCGTGAAGATATGGAAAGGATTGAAAATACTACAAGTAAAGAAAGCCATCTTTGGTCTGAAGATTAAGTTATTAATTAAACTTGTTGGTTACAGACATATGATTCCATCGATAATAGTCAAACCGTTTCCACCACTTTTCCAAACTATTTAATAACAACGCCATATCCATTTTTAAAAAAGCTGATGCTAACAAAATTAGCAATTATAAACCAATACACTCTCGAAAATTTGAAAAACTGTTCTTACAATAAAATGTTAGTTACCTATTGCAATTTACTAATTTCAATTCACTAATATGTAATTTTGGCATTCTTTTTATTTAAGCAAAACATTTGATTGCAATTTACACGAGTTATTATTACGCAAACTAATTTTATAATTTTAATCCTAACAGGGTAAAATTTCTTTTCAAAAATTTAACAAAAAATAGAAAGCTTCGAGGAATTATATCTTCAGAAATGTATATAAAATACAGCGTTTCCCAAAGTTTTAAGACATATTTCCATTTAATTTATTTGAATGACCTTTCGCAGCACCTCCAAAATTTTATTTTCACACAATACCTGCAGTATACTGATTATAGTACTGTAATCAAAATTAAACCAAGCTTAGAAGCAACATAGAACACAAAAAAAGGGTTTCTGACAAATCAGTTAGTAGTTTTAAATGATAATAAATCGTGATGTTCACTTTAAAACATGTAAACAAGATTATGTAAAAAGTACTAAATTTTTAGGATCGCTGTAGATCAGGAAATATAACCAAATATACCTTTTAAGAAATTTACCCAATAATCTGTCACCAAACGTACTGACAACAGCTTCCTTTGCAGTAAATCAAGATCACTTACAGCGCGGTGTGCTAATCTGAGCCCACTCACCAATTAAATTGTTCAAAATACAGTGTCCTTTATTTATTTTTACATAAATTACATGATCCAGAAAATAACGCTATACAAAACTATAAGCTTTTATCACGATTATAACACTATAACACACCTAAATAGCATCTGAAAATTCTATTATTTTTTTAAATTTTTTAAAGAACTTTTTGGGCTGGTCTAAACTTTGAGGCCGAAAAGGTTTTTTTTTTGGCTGAGGTACACACAAAAATAATTGGTTATGTAAGTGATTTTGAGGTTAGAAAATATTTCTTCGTTGTTGGAGGAAAAGTCCTGCAGATCTGATAAAAACCAAAGTGCTACTTTGGTAAACTACTAAGTAAAAAAATTGGTACTGTCATGTTTGATAACGACATTCAGTTAGTGGAGTTCAAATAACCACGCTTTCAGCCCTGTTATTCAAAAAAATATTGGTCAAAAACACAAGGCCAAGGACGCAAAAGTAAATTTTCATCATCTGAGTACAAAGAAGTGACAAATCAGTCTAAAAAGTGACAACTGACTACAAAAAAGTAATTTTGAGATTTTACTACAAAAAAGTTACACTTCATGAACGTGATTGCGGACGTAGAAGAACTAGATTTGTAACGATCTCCTAAAATAGTAATTTATGTACCAATGTCGCAAAGAGCTTTTTTTTGCCCATCTGAAGTTTGAGCCCGTAGTTTAATTCGTAGTTAAATTTGAAAAAATATGAAGATGAAACATTATTTTAATGAAAAACAACATAAAATTTAAAAATGTAAAAGTATTGAACAATAATTTAACATTAATACTTAATAAACTTTGTTTCGTAGGACTGCAGATATTTACGTTTTTGAGGTTAGAAAACTGTTGCTTTTCTTGTTGGACCAAAGCCCTGAAGGATTTGCCACAAAATCGGAAGTCTAGTTTGCCTTTCAATTAAGAGAATGTATTGTAGGTAAGCAGAGAAAAATGTTGTGTCTCAGTGGGATTCGAACCCTACGCCTCTCGCTCTCCGGGCAAGCATCCTAACCGCTTATCTTTCTCTGCTTACTGACGTGTTATTGTGCCGCCACAGTATAAAAAAGGCTATTTTACGACAAACATTTGGGAACCAATCTCATCTCACTTCATACATTTTTAAAATATTCAATGCCTCTTGCTTCATCTCTTGCTCATCTTATTGTTAAGGTAATTTGAAGGGATATAAAAAGAATTCCGTTGGCTAAAGATGCTAAATGTAAGGTAAACACACAAGGACTCCGAAGAAAGGTCAGCAGATACGAGACTTCAGTTCAAAAAAAATTATTTTGACAGTTCAGTCCCAAAAAGTAAGACTTTACGGCCCCAAATCGAGTGGAGTAGCTCTTTTTATGTTGGTCGCCTAAAAATCATTTTTTAGATCCAAATTGTCTGGTAACTCTGAGGATTTTTCATTTTTTTTGTTGCGAAATCAAAACGCTAAAATTAAATTTATTTGTTATTTGTAAACCTGAATACTACGCGAAAGTAAAAAATACAAGCCTGTGGCGATTTTGACATTCTCCGGCCTTTTTTTTTTATATTGGGGGGTCCTTTGGGCGCCAGCTGGGTAGTTAACCCAACAAGGAAAGGGACGAACGGACAACAGACTAATTTTCAGTAACTTTATATTAACAAACGCCCTTCGCGAAATGGTACCACCTCTACGATCTTACATGCTAAGTACTTTCCGCAAATTTACGTAAGCTCTTTCCTGGTGAAGCACTTCGGAGCGATTCTCTTATGTTCAAAGCTCCCCTAGGAGATGTTACCATAGTATGGGACAGCAACGATGGAGACGGCAACCAACCACGAATCGATGGGTATGGGACAGTGACGATGGAGACGGCAACCAACCACGAATCGACGGCACCCGTACAAAGAACCTAGTTCCTCCTTCTATTTAAATATTCTAGGCCAAATAGGGACTCACCTAGCTGTTCTTGGTTCCTTATTTTGCCAAAATCTCGATTTTCACAGCAATTCACTTCGCTCAAAAAACGCTCTTCACCTCCTCTTTTTCTCGCCGCCCGTAAAAACCGACCCCACTCTTCCGCGACCTTGCTCACCGAGCGCGCTTAGATTTAAAAATCGTTACACCCCCTCAAGTTACCAAAAAAAAATTTATTTTTTTTTAAGAAATGAACATAAATCGAAACTAAATAAAAATAATCCAAAATAAGTAGAAATATAATCCATAGTACTCTTGCAGTGAAAATATAAAGGTCACAATCAGGTTTGTTTCGAAAAATCCAAATTAGGTTTCGGGTATACCCAGTCAAAATCGGGAAAATTTAAAAGAAACTTCTACATTCAGTCCACCATGCGCTATCTTTCACGAGATCATCCACACTTCTCCTATCACTCCATCTCATACACACTTATTTCTAAACGTCACAATCGGGAAATACTTATTAAGCGTCATCACATGGCTTCAAATCTTTTACATGCCAGCGTCCTATATCTTTGCCAGATTCGTCGGCGAGTTGATACACCAAAGGAGACACTTTCTTTGTTATGACACATTCGATGAATCTTGGAGCTAATTTAGACGAAAACTTCTTAGAGGCGTCAGACAAAACGTAATTTCGTTTCCATACACGATCACCTGCATGATACACAT